TATGACCGGCCCCAATATGCCCACATGTCTGAGTGGTTGCAGTTGAAAAGTTGACATGAGACCTTGATGCCTGTGGGTTTTGTTCTGAAGAGGCTCCTGGCTCCTTTTGCTCTATGTGAAGAACCCCTGGATGCTTTTGGTGACACACGTTACAATCCAAACGACTCCTGCAGTCTTTGCTTGTGTGACCAACTTTCAAACAACCGAAACAAATCCCCTTTTGTTTAATGCAGGTCAACTTGTCCCCATGCATTTTAGTTTTAAACTGTTTACAGTTTTCCAATAGATGATTTCTTTGTAAACAAAACAAGCAGCTGTGAAGAACAGTAGACTTGGTCCTGTTTTCAGTCGATTGAGTTCTGGCTTCTGGAATTGTGCTGACATTAGTGGCAAAACTGCTTCCTTTTTTCCTTAGCTTGTTGGAACTTGAAACTTTAGAGTTGCTCAAAGTTGGTGGGTCTTGGATGTTGCCAAACACTGGATCTGAGGCTACTTTTACTTCTTTTACTATGAAAGCAACCAGATCAGTGAACAACGCTCGTTGGCCATTTTGTTCCTGCAGCTCATATGCAGTAACTCTCCATTTCTCCCTCAGTTTGTATGGGAGTTTCATGACGATCGTTCTCATATTTAAAAGTAAATCCAACTCTTTCATGTAAACAATTTGTTGTGTTAAATTTGAACAACCTTGAAGGAAAAGAGAGAATGATTGAAGACTTTTCACATCATCACCTCTTATTGGTGTCCAACTCATAATCTTCTCCATATATGCAGAAGCAATTTTATTTTCATTTCCAAAATGTTCTTCAAGAAGATATTTGGCTTTCGAATAACCTTGATCAGGAGATAAGTGTTGACAACTATGCACCAGATCTTTAGGCTGCCCCCTAGTGAACTGCTCTAAGAAGTGCAAACAGTCACTCGAGTTGTCAGTTTTAGCTTCCACTCCGTTCTCAATAGCATTCATAAATGATCTGTACTGCAGGGGGTCCCCATCAAACACAGGGATGTTTCTGGATGGGAGAATAGACGATAAGTTTTGTTTTACAAGCAAGGCAGTGATGTCATTTTGTCTTTCCATGATGTTCACAATGTCATTCTGACAGTCCTCAGTCAAAGAAGGAAATTGAAATTGCGTTTGCTGTGTTGCTCGTGTTGAAGAATCAACTTTTACTCTCGTCTGGTCATTTTGAAATTGTTTCTGCCTCTGTTTAGGTCTAACGACAGGAGGGTCAGATGAAGAATTTGCTCTTTCATACGGAACATACTCATTAGCACGAGGATTTAACAAGAGCGTGTCCTTTACTTTGGCTCTTTCAAAATAAGAGTTCATGCCATCGGATTGTTTAGAACCAGCAACTGAATTCATGTTTAAAACATTAAGTTTTTGATGAGTTCCGGTTGGTAGGCAAATGGTGTAGACGCGTGGTGAGAGCGCTCCGGCCGTCCCTTTATCTTTTCATACCACTCAGCCCTCATACCTTATAAGTTGTGTACTTTTTTTTTGGTTTGCTATACATTTTTCTTTTTCTTTTGCAACCTGACCTGTAACTGGGATTAAGATGCCGCCTAAAGGACTGAAAACTACCGAAAAGGGGGAGGCTAAAGCTGAGCCTAGCTTAACACTTGACGCCATTAAAGAGCTACTTGAGGAACACCGCGAAAAGCTGTCTGAGGAGTTCAAGTCATCTTTTGATGCGATAGACTCTAAGTTAGACCAAAACAAAACGTCTTTGGACGATCACGACCAACGCATTTCTTCACTCGAACTCGCATCTGAAGACCTAAGCCAGCGCGTTATGGATTTGGAGAATGCCTGCTCCTCTCTCCGGGACGAGAATGCTAAGCTAAAGGCTAAAGTTACGGATTTGGAGAACCGTAGCCGGCGTCAAAACATACGCATCCTGCCGGGTCAACGTTGCAACAAGATGGCCGCATAAAAACAGGCTCCTCCGTGACGGTAATTAAACTTATTCCCCTCGCCAAATCCAGAAGACTATCAAAACAACAGGCTAAACCACGTAAAGGGGGAAAATGCCGAAAACTAACAAGACCGAAAAGAAAACGACTAAAACACAAGAAAATGACGAACAGTCGGGAGATGCTAGTGGAGATGAAGCTAATGCTATCACGAGGAACGCTAGCCTTGACCCACAGCAATACGCGTTGCTGGAGGGTATCAAGACACTTTCACAAGAATTAAAAGAATTCAAAAACGAAATGAAGCACGATATAGAAAAACTCAAAGAAGATGTTAAAGCCACAATGAAGGAAGATCTCAGCAGATTCAGGGAGGAAATGATGTGCGAGCTGCAGAACCAGAAGAGCAGTATCACCGAGGTACAGACCCGTGTAGCTGATCTGGAAGCTGCATGCTTGGAAATGAAAAATGAGCTGCTTGAGACATTAGAAAAGAACAAAGCTATGAACGACAAACTTGTGGATCTGGAGAGTCGAAGCCGGAGAAATAATCTTCGTATCTATGGAGTTCCGGAAGGGAAAGAAGGTAGATCGGTCTCGGAGTTTGTCACCGATTTGCTAAATAAACAGCTGAAGCTACCAGACGGAAGTGAACTCCAGATACAGCGGGCACACCGAGCATTGGTACCCAGACCGCCTCCCAACAAAGCCCCGAGATCTATAATTGTGAACTTTTTGCAATTCAATATCAAAGAAATGATTCTAAAGAAAGCGTGGGAACAGAAAATGGAGATGGAAGGCAAACGTCTTTATTTTGATAACGACTACGCTTCGGACGTCATAGAAAGACGCAAAGCGTACGGCCCATTAAAGGCGGCTTTGAAACAGAAAGGTATCAGATTCCAGACGCCGTACACAAAGATGAGAATCTTCTGGGAATCTGGAGTGCGGACCTATGAGAACGCGGTCGAAACGGCATCGGATATGATCAAGAAAGGCTTCGGCCTGACCTGGGTTCCAAAAGAAAACAAGCTAAGATCGGCCAAGGAGAAGCTCGACTCGCTGTTGCCATGGAAACGGATTATCAACACCGATACAGGTCAACGCGCGAGGGAGAAGCTTACGGAGTTCAGACGCGAGGACCAGTGACTGAACATTGAACCACAGGTTTGCATTATTACAAGAGCTTCTGTTACCAAAGTTATGTGCAATAGGTCTTTGTTAGATATTTAACCAAATACCGAATGGAGTAAATGTTGCAGTGTTTACCAAATGTTGGACTTATCTAGTAAAAGTAGACCTCAGGCTACTACTAGAGAGGGCCCCCACCTTAGTGTGGTGTTTTGCCCTCCCCCCACCAGCAGGGACCTCGAGGGATGTCCTTACACATCTCTACCTTTGGAAGTTTCTGTTCCATTTGTTCATCTATGTTTCAATAGCTCGTTTAGTTATTTCTTGGGGGTTCTTTTTCTGATATCAAGGGGTGACCTTACTAATCCAAATAATGGTTGATAATATCAAGATTGTTTCGTTGAATGTGAACGGTATGAACAATCCTATAAAACGCAAAAAAATCTTAACTAAAATGCGAAAAGAGAAAGCACAGGTAATTTATTTACAGGAAACACATTTGTCTAAATCAGAGCATGAAAAACTTAGGGGCTTTGGCTACTCAAATACATTTTATAGCTCATTCAGACTTGGAAACAAAAGAGGAGTTTCAATTTTAATTCATGACTCAGTAAAATTTGACTGCAGCAAAGATCTATCAGATAAAGAAGGGAGATATGTGATAGTGAAGGGGACTCTTGAAAACGTAAAGGTAACACTGGTCAATGTCTACAACCCCCCAGACACCAAAATACAATTTCTTAATAACCTCCTCAATGAAATAATTATGGAAACAGAGGGAATCCTGATCTGGGGAGGGGATTTCAATATGATATTGAACACGAAGCTTGATACAACAAATGATAAAAAACAACAAAATTTAACTACAAAAAAATTTAAACTAACACTTGAAGAGTTTGGATTTGTTGATGTCTGGAGGGAATTAAACCCTAATACAAAGGATTATACCCACTATTCTGCGCCCAATAAAAGTTATTCCAGAATTGATTATCTTTTCATGAATAAATCTGACATATACAAAGTAAAGGATTGTAAAATAGAAGAAACAAGTATATCTGATCATTCTTCCCTAACATTAAAACTAAATTTACTTTCCAGTAAACGCAAAACAACTTGGCGATTAAATGTAGGCTTGTTGAACCACAAAACAATCAAAACTGAAATTTCCAATGACATCAAAACCTACATAGAGGAGAATGACGACGGTCAGGTTAACCCGGTAATACTATGGGACGCACTTAAGGCAGTATTAAGAGGAAAGTTGATATCAAAAACTGTGGCTTTTAAAAAATCCAGAATGGAAGCCTATGAAAAAGAAAGAGTTAAATTAATAGAACTAGAAAAACAACATAAATCAATCCAAAATCCCAACCTGCTTGTTAAAATAAAAGAAGTAAGAAATAACATTGATAAAATGCTTACATATGAAATTGAAAAGAAATCTAAATTTATTAGACAATCATACCATGAAGTCGGACTTAAAGGGAAAAAACTGCTGGCAAAGAAACTAAAAAAGCAACAGTCAGATAGAAATATCTATAAATTAAAAGATGGTGAAACCAATCAAACGATACACGATCCTGTAATTATTGAGGACATGTTTAGGACGTACTACCAAAGATTATACAGTCAACCTCCATCCGCCGACGATGGACAGATAGAAACCTTTTTGGATTTACTGGACTTGCCCTCAATTGGAGAAACCCAGAACAAACTTCTCACTTCTTCCATAACAAGAATAGAAATACAAAAAGCAATCAGTAGGTTAAAAAACGGAAAAACACCAGGTAGTGATGGATTGCCATCTGAGTGGTACAAATCCTTTAGTGAAGATCTCCTGCCATTACTAGAAAAATCATTTAATTATACTCTGGAACATGCAGTGCTTCCTCCGTCTTGGAGAGAAGCGATCATAACAGTTATTCAAAAAAAAAAAGATGAGTGAGACATGCTCTGATTATAGACCAATATCTATTCTAAACATGGATTATAAAATTTACACCTCAATACTAGCAAAACGATTTGAACAATTCATTGGAGATATCATAGATGAGGACCAAACAGGATTTATTAGAGGTCGCCAAACACGAGATAATATCAGGAGGGCACTTCACATTATAGATCATATTCATAGTAAAAAAATAAAAGCTATTTTAATCAGTCTCGATGCAGAGAAAGCTTTCGACAGCGTAAGCTGGAACTTCCTATATAAAGCACTTGGAAAATTTGGTTTTAATGAAAAGGCTGTACAGTGTGTGAGGACCTTATACCAATCACCAGTGGCCAGAATCAAGATTAACGGAAATCTAACTGATAGCATAAAACTGGCACGTTCTACACGTCAGGGTTGCTGCTTATCACCAACACTATTTGCAATTTATATTGAACCACTGGCACAACTCCTAAGACAACATAATGATCTCAAGGGCATTGATATACATAATGAATTTCATACAATAGGTCTGTTCGCGGATGATGTAATTTGTTATTTATCAAACCCTGAGAATTCACTGCCCTGTCTAATCAAACAGTTAGAGATATTTGGCTTCTACTCAGGATATAAATTAAATTTGAAAAAGACACAGGTTTTAACATTCGGTTATACTCCATCAGAAACTATTCGTAGACAATATAAATTAAATTGGAATGCTACCACAATGACATATCTAGGAATACAACTAACAAAAAATGTGGATGACCTATATAAAGCAAATTTTTTAAAAGTGGACCAAGAAATCAAGAGGGACATTAGAAGGTGGGATGTCCTAACACTAGATTTCAGCTCTAGAATTGAAACCATAAAAACAAACGTATTACCACGGTTATTATATCTTTTCCTGGCACTACCTATAGAAATCCCAGACAGACAGTTTAAAACATGGAACCGGATTATATCTGGATTCATATGGAACGCCAAAAAACCCAGAATAAGATTTGCAATTCTACAATTACCAAAAGATAAGGGAGGTATGGCATTACCAGACTTTAGAGAATATTACCATGCTGCTCAAATAACTCCTATAATAAATATAAGTGATATAAATTATGAAGCGAAATGGAAAAATATTGAACAAAAAGTCCATGGAAGAGAATTGCGGAGTATCATTGGAGATATAGAGACCACCAAGAATACACTTGAGAAAGTTAATGCCATTACTAGGTTCTCACTGGGTAAATGGATATATATAATTCGAAAATGCAAACTAGAGGATCAACTATGTTTGGTCCAATGGCCAGCCTATAACAATTACTTTACTCAAGACCTAAGATTTAAACAATGGCTAGAAAGAGGCTTAACAGCACTATGTGTAGTCCTTAAAGATGAGCATTTCAAAAGTTTTCAGGAACTACAACAAGAATTTGCTCTGGGAACTCAAGATCATTTTAGATATTTACAACTAAGGGATTTTTACAACAAAAAGATAAAACACAGAGTAGACCAAAGTGAAAAGGGGATTGGCAAAATGCTGGTCGAGACCTATAAGGGTAAAAAACACAGAACTGTGTCCTTAATTTATAAACATCTGTTGGAAAACAGGGGTACTAATACTCTGGATATTAAAACAAAATGGGAAAGGGAATTAGATATCATGCTAACGGAAAACGACTGGTTTAATATCTGGAAGACCCAATTTACGACATCTTCCTCCAGAATTTGGAGAGAACATTGTTGGAAGAATATAATCAGATTTTTTATAACACCCAAAATTACCAGTAAATTCAAATCTACTGTCCAACCGTGTTGGAGAAATTGTGGAGAATTTGATGCTAACCATACACATATTTTTTGGCTTTGTCCTAGATTGACACAGTTCTGGACCGAAATACACAAAGAGATTGTAATAACATTAGGCTACACAATACCTAAGACGGGTCTGGTTTTGTATCTTGGCCTTTTGGACGATGTTGTTCTTAATAATGACTGTTACCTGTTTAAAATTTTGTTGGTGGCTGCCAAGAAGGTAATAACTAGGAAGTGGTGCCAACCTGACCCTCCTACCAGAAAGGAATGGATACAGACTGTGAACTCATTATATGAGATGGAGATTTTAACACATAGACTGAGGACAAAAGAAGAGCAATGCCAGGACAAATGGGAAAAATGGATAAACATCACATCAACGTCACAGGACTAATTTTGGATACGAACGGTACCCTTGAATCCAGTGATACTGTAATAAGAGTCTCCCCCCACTATGTTATATTATTTTTGTTTGTTCTGTTCTATTTTTGCTGGTTTGTCTTTTTGTTTTCTTTGTGAAAATATTCTAAAAATTCCAATAAAAATAAAGTTAAAAAAAAAAAAAGAAACATCATTGGAGCAAGTAAATAGTTTTAATATAAGTCTACCGGACCATCTACCAAAAACTGTCCCACATTACCTGAAGTCACCGGGAGAATT